TCGCTTCGGGACAATCCCAACTCCTTAAAGGTGTTGCTGTACATTACGTTGACCGAGCTGCCCGTATCGACCAAGGTTCGGTGAACAACCACATTATTGATCTCCACTCTTATCACCAGAGCGTCCCTGTGAGGACTGAGGACTGGGGGATAATCCTCGTCTGTAAAGATCAGAGGTTCCTTCTTCTTTCGCTTAGGCAACGGTGGCCTTTGTACCTCGGCCAGGTACACCATGTTTTTCCACTTCTTCCGGGAGGATACCGAATCTCCTCCAGTGTTTCCTCCCATGATGAACCGACACCCCAGGTGTCGGCGACCTTGCCTCTCCTCCTCATCCAGGTCATCACAATCTCGCCCTAGGTGCCGCCGTCCATCTTCTTGCCCCTCTCCTGCTGTGATCGCTGCCGTGGGGGCTGGCGGTCTCCTCTAGGTCCGGTTACTTGTGGACGGTCGCTCTGACCGAGGAGGTGGCCCTCTAGCGATCAGCTGATCCATCTCCTTCTTTAGCGTAACGCACTCCGACGTGTTATGGGTGCTGTTACGGTGGTACTCGTAGTATTTGGGTGCATCTTGCACACCATAGCTTTCCCGACCATGAGGAGGGGCCGGCAACGACTGTACCGCGTGAACGGGATGCCTGTTCGCATGATACCCGGTGGGGTTCGGCCCCTTACCATAATCCTTCCTTTTCTTCCCTTCTGCCACCGGTGGCCCGCTTTTCTTCTCCTTCCGGACTGGTGGCTCATCATCTTCCTCTTCCAGCGCCAGGTACTTCGCCCTGGCCAACATCTCTTGATAGGTCGAGAGAGGATTCCGTCGCAGCTCCTTACGCACATCCCCTCGGGGGAGTGCAGCTTGGAGCATGGCGATCAGGGCTTGGTCGTCCGCCCCTTGGACATCCCTAGCCTCCTTCTCCCACCTATTAATGAACTCCCGGAGCTGTTCCCCCTTCTGGATCTTCACATTGAGCAAATGCGAGAAGGGGAGCTTTTGTCTCCGGCTGGATGCGAAGTGCTCCAAGAACTTGTGGGCCAGGTCGCCCCACTTATCTATCGACCCCTTGGGTAACTTGTGAAACCACTCACAAGCCTGCCCTTCCAGTGTCGCCAGGAAACACCGACACTTGATTTCTTCTGGATATGCGTACATGACCACGTTGGCCCCGAA